GAGAGAGAGAGAGAGACAATGGTAGGTAAAGAGAGGAGCAAAGAGGGAGGGAGGGAGGAATAGAGGGTTTAGAGCATACGAGGCGATGATGGGGAAAAGAGGGCTTGATGATGTACCGACGAAACGGAAGGGGTGACTGGGAAGAGGAGAGGGAGGGGGTGGTTGCGTTGTGTACTACGCAAAGATGGGAGGAAATTACTACACCATTATTGGATGAGTCAATGAATGTGGCTTGTTGACGAACCAAATCAAATGCAGGCGACTGCGACTCCGACGTGTTCGGATACGTGCCGCTGTCATATAGTGAAGGCTGTATGCGCTGAATTGTCGCTGAGAGCAATTTGCAAGGGGAATTAAGAGTCGTAAATTCCTAATAATATGACTCTCTGGGAAAATAGGATACAGTAAATTTGCGTATCACATCATTAAAAGTATTATCGCTTATATATGACTAAATACATCTAATCATCGCTATCTATTAGCGTTACTATGATCATTTCCATCTGGAGTAAGTTTGCTGCACATGTTACATTATTAACATAAGCAGCAGTCAGATTAGTAATGACTTGGTCCAGTAACACTTGTAAAGGTATCGAGCGACCATCGCGCACGCACATATCAACCATAGTTGATTTGTGGTGATTTGAAGAACCTTCTGACCAACCGTTGGAGCGGTCCGAGAAGCTGAGCCCTCTTCTTCCTCCAGAACCAGATTGCCGCATTGTACTGCTCGTTACGTATCTTCCGCGTCGCTGCTCTCCAGTCGTACTTCTCCATCTCCTCTCGCGCTGCCTTGCCCATGGCTTCTCTGAACTCCCTGCATGACAGGAGCCGCTCGATCTTGCTCATGCAGTCATCAAGGTCGCCGGGAGCGAAGAGGAAGCTGGTCTTCCCTTCCTGCTCCTCCGGTATGATGTCTGGAATTCCTCCGGCACGGGCTGCTACGACGGGAACTCCGGACGACATGGCCTCCAACACGACGAAGCCAAGGGTCTCCGACTCCGAAGGCATCATGAAAACATCCCCGCTGGCGTATGCCTGCGAGAGCTCTACTCCCTGCAGCATTCCAGTGAACACCACCGGCATACCTGAGAACATCTTTTCCAGTTCAGGCCTGCATGGATAAAGAGAACACAAGCAAACCTGGAATCAGTTAATAAGAATGATTTGTCCATTGATGAGATTCCATCAATCATAAAAATCGGAAGACTGATGAATTATAAGAATGCCTGCAATGGAAATGGAAGTGGTGGCAACTTTAGCCTGACAATGGCATGCCAAAGTTTATGTTGATGATGATGATATGGTAATTTTCTTAAAATAACATCATCAGAAAGCCTGTAATGCCTTCATTATTATAACAGGAACAAAGAATCATCAAAACAAAATTCATGCTATTTGGATCTGGAGACATCATGTTAAAGACAACAGAGAGAAAAGAATGTCCTTCACAACATGGCATTTGTATTATCAGAGTTAGCCTCCTAACCGAGGGAAAAGAAAGAAAGCAAAGCAAGGGTAGCAATACCTATATGGTCCATCTCCGACGAAAGCAATTCTTACTCCTGGCAGCCTATCCATAACACTGATCAATCATAAAATTGCCGATGAGTTAATATTCTTGTAAACACGGGAAAAAAATCATAGGCGAATAATTGCAATTAGGTGGACGGTTCATCCACATCTCTGAAGTCATGCTTGGTTGGACCAAAGAGTCCATGGAAAAGTGTATTTTCCTTCAAAACCTATTAAAGGGGAACAAGAAAAATTAGACAAGAATCTCTTGTTTTTTTGGAAATCATCCTTTTATGTTTCTTTTTTTTTCCCTCCGAGAATAGTAGATTTTCCCAAATCTTTGTTCACTTTGCCTGTCCATCCTAATGTTTTTATTCCTAAAGAATATGAGTCACAAGTCAAAAGGAAAAAAAAGCACCAGTAACCAAATGAGTAGAACTGAAAATGAGCTAAACAAAGATGATTTCTGATTCCAGTATATGTTTAAAGGTGAAAACCGCAAAGGAGAACCAACCTTTTCAGAAAATCCAAGCTCTTTTCAACTCCTAATCGTCCAACATGAATTAACAATGGCTTTTCTGGTTCACCATTACTAGCAAAGGAGGCAAACAAAATTAAACAAATTTAAAGTATTTCAAACACTGTCCTTTTGCAAGTCAACTTGCTCATGCCAGTGTGCTGGTGGAGTGCAGCGAGCTACCTTAGCCTCATACGCATTTCATGGCTCCGATAACGAGGGTGGAAGTTTTCTGAATCAACACCCTTGTTCCAAAGGCGAATTTTGTTAGCTGTTGAAAAATAAAGGCATGTGTCAGCACAAAAGGAGAAATATAACACGAGGAACAAAGGTAGGCAGCTCAGCTCTGCAACAAAATATTTGTTAACCTGCTGCTACATGAGCATCTATAAGATCCTTGCTAATAGCAGCTGAAGGCACTAAAGTAAGATCAGCAGCTCTATGAAGGAACCCTTGGAAGTAAAGATCAGAGAATTAGAAACATATTAACAGTGTTAAAGGAGCTTATGCTTTGGGGAAAAGAACAAGAAATAGATTTCTTACTTATTATCAACCACATGGGCTTCACCAACCAACTGAATGTATATCTGGGAATATATCTGTGACAATGACAGGAAAATACTAGCTAAGTTGCAAGCAAGACACTATTAAAGCATTATATTTCGTTACACATTTAAAATACATTTTAGTGAAAGCAAGGAACTTGATTGGGGGTGTGCCACCTTTATATGGAGTAATTCCTTAAATAGAAAACCATCTTGTTTATACCAGATAATATTACATAGATGGAGGCAATAACCCAGACATTATTAAAGGAGCTTTTCTTATTCACTTAATCTTGATCAGAGGAAATAACAAAAGGAAGGACATTGATGCCTTAAAGAAGAAAATAAAAAAGGAAATGGATGCAAGGGAGGGCTAACTAGAGGAATTGAGTAAATCTTGGTCAATAAAACTTGGGCTACCTGGAAGCAAGATATCATGACAGCCACTTTATATCTATAGATTAATTATCTGTAACATATATCTTAAGTAAAAATCACATTCTTCTATTCCTTCTCACACTACCTTGGTAAACAAATTTCATACATTTGCATTATTAAGATTGTCATATGTTTAATAGCCATCAAAGCAAAACAGATTACCAACTTCAAATTTTCTTTTAAAAGATGAAAAATATGTGAAATAAGTATTACATCTTTCTGGAAACAAATCTTTAGCTGTCAGAAATTTGTAACAATAAATGATACATTTTGTCATTAAAAGGAGCTGTTTCTTTAACTTGAGAATGCAGCCTCCAATAATAGAATAGACTGTGGCAACTAAATTTGATTAATAGACTGACATCCAAAAGAAGGTAAAGAAGTTCTTTATGGGAAAATAAATTGCTAGAAAAAAGATTCAAACATCTCATAAATGATGTCAATTTGGCATTACGCTCTTCTTAGGATCAAGAGCACAGGCAGTCGTACTTATAATAGCACAAATATACTGGTAGAATAAAAAAAGTAATAAACTTTGTGCTTATCAAGGACATGCATTCCTTTTCAAATCAGTTCTTAGTAGTGGACTATTGAAGAACTTGGTCATTTGGTTCTAACAGAGCATCAAAATGCACAGGAGCTGGTGGCGTTAACAAAATTTACATAGTTTAGTGCAAAAACGAACTTACATTGGAACGTGGGTGTGATATGACATCACTATTGGAACACAAAGCAATTTGGCAATTGCCAAAGCACCAAACACCTGAAGAAATGCTCAGCGTTAGTAGGACATAATCTGCAAAAGGACTCATTTCTATGAATGAAGATGCATGTTTAAGTTAAGTACGTGAGGAATACCATGATTCCTGGAGAAGATGCATGAATAATGTCAGGCTTGAACTTTGCCACTTCTGAAATTATTCTAGGGCTCAGTGCCAATGAAAGTGGAACTTTCTGATACCATGGGCAGGGGAAGCTGAACAAAGAAGTTGAGAATTACAGATAGAACTAAACCAAAAATACAAGAACTTTAACCATTGAGAAAAACATTAAGAGTAAAGTGAATGTCACAAAATATATACTAAAGATGAAATATGTCATCTTTATATTCTATATATTCTTACAAGTTAGTTGCTTGAATAATAACTTACCACATAAATGCTACTTAAGATACAAACTTAAGATGAAATATGTCATTTGAACTTGCTGAGGTGGATAATAGAAAGTTCACAACCAGAGAACAACCACAAATGGCTCAGTCAACTTGGGCGACATGACATTTCTAATCTGATCAATATGATTTACATATGTGACATCATAGGAGCAAGGCTTGCACATTACAGACCCTTAGGTAACTTGAGGATGATCAAAATCAAAGGAAATAGCCCTTTTATAATTCACTATGATTAAATTGTCCATAACCTTTTAGGTCTCAATAGCAGTTGGAAATGATGGTCCGACAAGCAACATGCTCAAGTACATGAGAATCTACTTCTAAGACAGCAATAGTGCATCAAATATAGGAAAATGAACTTTGTGTACCTCCATGAACCAATAACCTTTGCGCCATAGAATTCCTGAGGTACCCCTTCATGGGTAGTCACCACAATGACCTACACGAAGCACCAGTTTAAAAAAATCTTCAGAAACACAACTTTCTCTCAGTAAAAGAAACCTCCAAGATACTCTTTTTACAAATGTTAGGATGGCATTCACTACTTTGCTAACACCCCAAGAATCAGTGTTTCCAAAGTAACATAGAAAATGCATATGATCAATAAAATGAATAAGAGTCTCAGATGAAGTTGAATTTGGTGAAGTATAGACCTCATCCCCCATTTCACGCAGATGTTTGATGAAATTCTGGAAGCGGTTCTTATATCCAGAAATATAACTGTCAAACATGAAATTGAAAAAGAATAATGAATAATGAGCTTATAAGCAACAATTTATTAGGAAAATCAAGGTTGGTTAATTTGGACACAAGCCTACTGAAAAAAAAAGCATTATATCAGAATAAATATGGATAAGTATAATGATAGAGAAAGCATTATAAGGTGCTTCGGTCAGCCCAACATCAATTTATCATTGTACATATGTGATTTTTTTGGACAGATGGACTTAATATGGTGTTTTCTCTGCATCATCACCAAGTTCTTTTGGTATGTTGACTATTCTTGTTTAGTAAGTAAAATTAGATTCCGGAAGTGATAGTCATAAATCAGGATAACTATAAACAGGTAAACTAAAGTACCTTAGGATTGATCCCTGAAAATGTACAAGAAAAACCATGTAGAAAAGCTAAAAAAGATTAACAAGAATCGCAGGCAATGATCAAACCCACTTCGCTCCAAGATTGTATCTTGACAAACCACGGAAAGAAAAAGAGAACGAAGTTCCTTTACCAAGACAACTAAAAAAGGGTTCCAAAATTGAGCAAGGATGGAAACGAGAACTTACGCGAAGGGGGAGGGCTCGACGAAGAGGGCAATGCGGCGAGGCTTAGAGTTACCCTCTTGATCCTCCAAGATCATGGGCGGCGTTTCTTCCTCCTCCTCGTCCTCCTTCACCTCTTCAATGACCATCTTCTTGCTCATCTCGGCGTAGGCCCCAATTTTCCGCCTCCCTCGCCGCAAGGCGATCCGCAGCTCCCTCGGAAAAGACGACGACGAGAAGCTAAGAGAAGGGGAAGAAGCAGGGGGGTAATGGAAGCTAAGGAGGTGCGTCGGCGGAGAAGGGGTGACGGCGGGAGAGCGGAGATGGTTTGTGCGAAGTAGTGAGTCAGCGGGAATCATGTGTGATGAAGGGATGTAATCGGAGGCTAGGAGGGGTTGGGTTGCCTACAAGTCAACTCGCAGGGCCACGAAAGAAGAGGCAAAGATGAGAGGCGGGGAGGGGCGACGAGGGCTTGTCTTTGTTTGGAGTGGGG